TGCCTGCTAATCAATTGGTTTAAAAGCACCAAAAAATAACTGAATATGTTGTACTTCAGCTGATGACAGCCATGCATAGTGTTCCATGCAGGAATCTCCTGACACATTGCTGAGATTGCAGCAGACAACCACATATAATCAGTTCTTTGTATAGTGACTGCTCAGGGAGAAAGCTGTCACTCCTGAGAATGCACAAAACACTTGAACAGAAACCTTCTCAAATTCTGCCCCCCCCCCTTGTTACTGCTCTTTCTGTGATCAGAGCTGTTAAATTAATTTACTGTTGACTTGTCGACATCCCATGCTGCAGTGCACTTTTAGACCTGCGATTCCAGCCACATTTTGCTTTTGCTTTTGGAATAGGACCTGTATGAAAATGAAAGCAGTAAACCTCCCTATAATAAGTGCATCTGGTGGGCCTTTTTTGGGGGTGGGTTGGGTCCACTTGTCCCCTTTGTCTCGGCAAATCAATACAAAGTTGTCACCTTCGTCCCATGATGGGAGTGGTGTCTTCTAGGGTGACATGAAGGATTACTGAATGGTTTGAGTATTAGAGCGATGCAAGTCATTTTCTGTGGCCTTTGCAATCAGCCAGATCTCAGTTTAGACAACTTAGACACTTTATCACACTGTCACAGTTGACTTTAATTTCATGGCAGTTTGCATTAAACATGTGTTGACTCATCATCTTAGTAATAAGAGCTAAGCAACTTGAGATGCAGGAGACATCGTGCATTCACACTTCACACGCCTTTTCATAAGTGATACGTAAATCTTACTGAAGTGACCAAGGTGCACATTAAGACACAAGCTGTCAGATGGTGTTGAATTAAAACAAAATATTTCAAAACTTGAAAGGGTTCAGAAATACTAGTGTTTTTTCCTTTAATTTGTCAGCTGTCCGTGTGTGCTAAATGTAATTATGTACAATATTTTGTTTTGTTTTGGGGTTTTTTGCTTCTTCTCCTCTCAACACCACCACAGAACCATTGGGACTTGGAAATCACAGCTCTTTAAAACATTCCAAAAATTCTCTCAATTTCAGAGACATAAAATTACAGAAATTATCAACAAGCATTGCAATAATAGTTAAAAAATAATATGTCCGTTAACAGATCCAGAAGCTGTGCGATCGAGTTGCCTCCTCCACGCTCCTAGAAGATCGGAGAGATGCTGTCCGTGCTCTTAAGTCCCTCTCCAAGGTAAAGTATAAGTAGAGAACTAAAAGGGCCTGAAGCTGTATGCAGTCAGTTGCTAGTTAAATGGATCCTAACTTGCCTTGAAAAATTGTAATTTCTTGAAAGTTTTAGTGAAACTATTTAAGAGAAGAGCTGTGAAACTTTGAGTTGAAATCACTGCACTAACATCATGTACATAAAGCAGTCTGCACACGTCTTCTGCTGTGTCTCACTGCAATAAACGTGCCACCAGTAGCCTTGGATAAAGGTCTTGTTTGTCACATTCTACTGATTAAAATGAACTCATCTCTGACCTCCACCAAGTCACTTCTGTTCATGGACAGTTTTGCCATTAGCTGCACTGTCAACCATGAGTAATGAGTTTATCGAGCTTGAATAAGGGGTTTAAGAGGCACAGGGTTTCACGTCAACACACATGGGTGTTAGTCCTGGTCTGCTACACAGATAGATGTGCAGGTTTCCTGTATTTCATAAGAAATACCACAGAAATCCAAAATGTTTCTAACTTTTCTTTGTGCATATTGACTAGAATTCCTTTATTTTAGGTTCTGGTTGCAATACCAATCCTATGAGAATTTTTTAAAATGTTTTCTAGAAATATCGAATGGAAGTTGGAACACAGGCAATGGATCACTTGATTAACATACTACAGACTGACAGGTATGTTAATACTCATACTTGTAATGCTTGTGGATTACAGCTCAGTAAACATGCTTATGTTTGTCTCCCAAATGCAACAGATCTGACTCTGAAATCCTCGGCTATGCTTTGGATACGCTTTACAACGTCATCTGCAATGATGAGGAGGAAGAACAAGGTATTACACCCCACATCCTTAAAAAAATATGTAATTTAACTTGAATTCATAACTGGAAGATAAAACCTCTGATCTAAAGATGTTTTTAACTATATTGAAATGAATTCCTCCTCATTGTGAGGCTTCTGTAAATGGTTTGAACTGACTTAAAACCCATGTTTGTTTTGCATGTGTAAATGAGTTCAGTTCATGTTAAACATGGAAAGCTGTCAGTTTGCATTCCCTTCTTCTATACACTGATGATGACTGCTTTATTTAAAGACTCTCGTCTCTCTCTTCTCTTCCATGTTTTAACCTACAGATGAATCAGAAGGTAAAACTCTTTGACTGTGCATGATGCCAACCCCTCTAACACCAACGGCACTTAGGAATCACACAGTCCCCTTTGTTTGGTTATTGAAAAAGAGCACATTTTAAATGTATTCCCTGCAAAGATTAAAATAAGCTGATAAATGAAAATGGTGTTGTCATGGCATGGGTTAACAAGTCTCTGTTAGCTGATGCTGGACTTGGAATGAATGCTAGCTTTTGGGTAAGGCGTTGAACTTCTCTTCCTTCCTGCACTCGCAGACGCAGTAGCCCCTCTCCCTGTCTCAGGGAAGCATAAGAATGTGTCTGTGCCTGGTCAGTACTCAAACTGTGCCTTTGTGCAGTAGCTTTAGTGCTAACTAGTTATAACTAACTTCACTAAAATTAGAGGGCACCAGAAAATAAACAGGAAGGCACTTTGGTGTTGACAAGAATGCTTCACTAATGCTTCATTATGCCCCATCTTCTGGCTGTTTTTTTTTTTTTCTTTTTTCCCTCACATCACATTTTAATACCTCAGTAATTTTGCACTGTTGTTGTTGTTGTTATGCCAATACTAATTATACCAAATTATTATTATTATTTTTTTAGAAAGCATTTTTATTTTCCTCTAATACGTCTGTATTTGGATCTTTGGGTTAAGAGGGACACCATTTTCATCTAAACCTACACTAACTGTTTGTTTAGTCCACCTTGACCAATAAGTCTTATGCTTTATGCAAAACTAGAGAGATTTCTGTCTACCTGGCAGTAGTGATTTACTTTTTAGCTCTGATTTGGTTTCAATTGCCATCAGCAGCCTGTCTCTGTGTCTTTCTGCTGTCAGGTAGTATGCGTTGTGGTTTTTCAGAGCATTTTCATTAAACACAACAGCCAACTGGTGCTGAAAACTTTGTTTAGAGCAACGACACAAAATAAACCAGTAAAGATGGACCAAGGGAAACCAAAACAATAAGCTGCAAGAAGCTAAAGTGTTAAGTAATTGCCTGCAGGCGCTCCACCTTGAAATTTAATGTATATTAACTAATTAATTAACTAAGATAAGTTTATCTCAGTTAATTAATGTTAATCAATGATCTCCATTGTTAGTGTTGCAGGAAGAATGGAAAAAAAAAATATATATATATAAATATATATATATATATTTATTTATTTATTTTAGTATAGTGCAAAATGGAGTTAGAGCAGCATATAGCGACCTGCTCTACTACAGTTAAAAGTGGGAGTGAATCATCAGTTTTTCAGTCAGGAGGCATATATGAGGACCTGTGGGTAGAAGCTTTTATCGAGTCTGTTTGTGGCAATAGCTGTTTGCATAAAGTCCTACCACTAAAAGTAGACAAGAACACTCTTTTTGTAATCTCAGTAATGGATCCTTAGCTGGAAAAAGCATCCATTTATTTTCAGTTCTTTGCTTTAAAGTGCTGCACTCATCCCTAATTAACTGTTTATCACTGTGGGCTTAGAATACACTTCCTTTGGCGGTAACCCTGCTGTCCTCTCCTGTGTGTAGCTTCTCTTGTCTTTCTGGTTTGTTCACATTTGTCACCCTGAGCGCGTCTCTCATTCTCATGGTACCTGTAAAGTCGCTCGTCATTGGTAATTGAAGTTATACATGTGAGCTTCACTGCTGTGTTGCTCAGGCTGATTTATATGAACAAACCAGCTGGGTCCACACACTACATGGATGACTCCTGAGACGGTGACTCGTTTTCAATCTCGCTTCACAGATGAGAACGCACAGAAGCAGGCAGATGACCTCGGCCTCCAGTTTACAGACACGTTCGTCCAGGATCCTGAGCACGTAACCCTGCTCCTCACTCTGCTGGAGGTACCGAGTGGTTTTGATCCAGCAGCAGAAACTCTGTATTATTAAATTTTTCCTGACCTCCCCCCGTCTGATGCTTTTCTGCATTTTTAGGAGTTTGACTTTCATGTACGGTGGCCCGGAGTGAAGCTGCTGACTGCTCTGCTGAAGAACCAGGGTCCACAGATCCAGGGTATTATCCTGGTCAGCCCCATGGGTGAGTTTCTTATCTCTGCATTATATCGAACTTTGTCACGTCGGGAATTTATCGCTTTAACAGCAACATTTTTTGTTTCCGTTTACTCTCATAGGTGTTTCCAGATTGATGGACCTGCTGGCAGACTCCAGAGAAGTAATTCGCAATGATGTAAGCACACTTACGTTTTGTATTACACTGTATTTGAACCCCTTTGAAACTGAGCGTTGAGTAGAGGTCTGTTTGAGTCTGTGACATTTTGTTTTCTGCCACCATCAGGGCTTGTTGCTACTTCAACAGCTGACTAAAGGCAACGCTGCCATTCAGAAAATTGTGGCATTTGAGAACGCGTTTGAGCGCCTCCTAGATATCATCACAGAAGAAGGCAGCAGCGATGGAGGTAAATGGATTTTTACACAGAATTGTTACTGAACAATACGATCCTACCTCTTTTCTCTAAACACAGTGGTTTTTTTTTTTTTTGGCTTGTGATATATCCTGACATCTGTCGTCTTTCTTGTGTGCAGGTATTGTGGTAGAGGATTGTCTGCTTCTTCTCCTCAACCTGCTAAAGAACAACAGCTCCAACCAGAACTTCTTTAAAGAAGGCTCCTACATCCAGAGAATGAAGCCCTGGTTCGAGGTTGGTGACGATAACTCTGGTTGGTCTGCACAGAAGGTCACAAACCTTCATCTCATGCTGCAGGTAATATGTCTAATTGTTGTCTTGATCTAAGTACTAATTAAAAACAGCAGAATATTATTTGTTAAAACTCTTAAATAACTGTTAAATAATGTTGTAATCCCAGCTGGTGCGAGTCATGGTGTCTCCAGTGAACTCTCCTGGAGCTACGGCCAGCTGTCAGAAGTCCATGTTCCAGTGTGGCCTACTGCAGCAGCTGTGCACCATCCTCATGGCCACTGGTGTCCCTGCAGACATCCTCACTGAGGTAATCACAACAACCCGCTCGTTAAGTCTGAAACCATTAGCCATTGAAGCATTCAAAAGCTTCTTTAGTTCCCACAGCAAACAAGTGCTGAGGCATGCCTGAGAGGTTAAAACGTATCACATTCGAATTCAGTGAGGTCCTAACATTTATGTTTGTATGGTTTATACAGCAATGACAGTGGAACCTAAACACATCAATTCAAAGAGAATAGAATAGAATAGAATAGAATAGAATAGAATAGAATAGAATAAACCTTTATTATCCCACGGATGATAAATTTCGGTGTTACAGAGCTCTTACAGCAAGGGAAAATAAAATATAAAAGGAAGACACAAGGTGGTCCTATAAACATAAGCAGCCGAAGTTCGTAAATACAGGTATGTACAGGTAACAATGTACAGAATATGTATAGAAAAATTGTATGGAGACATGTATAAAATGTACAGTAAACAAACAAGCTGGTGAGTAAGATGACCAAAAGAATGTTAAGCTGCATTATAGAGTCTGACAGCTGCTGGTAAGAATGTACCTGCGGTAGCGCTCCTTCCTACACTCTGGGTGTAAAAGTCTACTGCTGAACGAGCGCAGTCTCATGCAGGGACTGTCCGTGATGGATGTTAGCTTAGACAACATCCTCTCCTCCCCAACCTGCTCGATGGACTTCAGTGGAGAATCCAGGACAGAGCCGGCCCTCCTGACCAGTTTGTTGCGGTTCCTCCTGTCCCTCTCTGCCATTCCACCACTCCAGCAGACCACAGCATAGAAAATAGCAGACGCCACCACAGTGTCGTAAAATTTCCTTAGGAGTGGCCTGTTCACCCCGAAGGATCTCAGCCGCCGTAGCAGGTGGAGACGACTCTAGATCCTTTTGTAAAGTGCATTTGTGTTTGTGGACCAGTCCAGTTTGTTGTTGAGGTGAACACCCAGGTATTTATACTCCTCCACTGTTTCAATGTCCAAACCCTGGATGTTCACTGGTGTAATAGGGGCTGGCTTTTTGCTGAAGTCAATCACCAGCTCCTTCGTCTTGCTGGCATTGATGCAAAGATGGTTCTGTTCGCACCAGCTGACGAAGTATTTGATGACCCCCTGTATTCCAGTTCATTTCCCTCCGACACCCCGACCCACAATGGTGGTGTCGTCTGAGAACTTCTGGAGATAGCAAGTGTCCGTGTTATAACTGAAGTCTGCAGTGTACAGGGTGAAGAGGAAAGGGGCGAGTACTGTTCCTTGTGGGGACCCCGTGCTACAGACTACCACCTCAGACAGTAAGAGGTGTGGTCCAATACTTTCCTTCATGTAATGCATCAGCACAGCTGCATTTAGGACAAGGGTTTAAATTCTCCTGAAAAACATGTTATGTTTTGGGTCGGTCAGTAAAGCGGCTGCGGGTGACTCATTGATAGACAAATGTAATCATATTGGAGGAAGAAAACCAAAAATTAAAATGACTTCAGACAAGAGCGCTGGGAGGATCCCATCCACAATGAGGATAGCAGTGGTGTGGCTTGAATTGTTTGCTGACAAATAGTTATTATCCTAAGATCAATATCCACACTGAAATCTTATATGTTGTGTCTGGGATACTGTGAGCCCAGAGACTTTAGGGTACACTGGGAGTTTCTAAAGTTTAAAGACATGCCTGTGTATGGGGCTAATTAAAATCTAGAAAGGTCCAGATTGACATTTGGAAAAAAATGCATCAAATTAAAAAGATGGGAGCTTCGTGCATCGCAGGAGACACTTAGACATGGAAACTGGTTTGATATGTCATGATACTTAGAGTAACAAAGCTGAAAAAAGAGAATTTTTGTTGCTCAGCAGTGAGCTTATGCAGATTAATGATCGTGACTTTGATTTGGATGCTTTCTTTCAGACCATCAACACAGTTTCAGAGGTCATCAGAGGCTCTCAGGTCAACCAGGACTATTTTGCTTCTGTCAACGCTCCGTCAAACCCACCAAGGTAAAAACACAACTAGTGGACTCGCCTGTTAAATCGCCTTTATCCATCTAAATCCTATGGTGACCTCTCTTCTTCATGTCCCCACAGACCAGCCATTGTGGTGTTGCTCATGTCCATGGTGAACGAGAGACAACCATTTGTGCTTCGCTGTGCGGTCCTTTACTGTTTTCAGTGTTTCCTCTATAAAAACCAGAAAGGCCAGGGGGAGATAGTTGCTACACTGCTGCCCTCCACCATTGATGGTCAGTAACAGTTTCAGGTCCTGTAAATAAATAACATGTGATCTGTGTTTTTAGATGGTTCACACTGTTTTAAGTGCTTAATAGCTCACTTTTTTCTGCCTTTCAGCCAATTCCATCTCTGCAGGACAGCTGCTGTGTGGAGGCCTGTTCTCAGCAGACTCTCTTTCAAACTGGTGTGCTGCTGTGGCCTTAGCTCATGCCCTGCAGGACAACCTCACCCAGAAAGAGCAGCTGCTGAGGGTTCAGCTTGCCACCAGCCTGGGCAAGCCCCCCGTGTCTCTGCTGCAGCAGTGCACCAACATCCTGTCCCAGGTAGGGCAATGATGATACAGAGGAGTGTGCTGATAGGCTGTGTGTCTCTGTTTGCCATAGGCTTCTTAAAACGGCACTATTGTCGATCACAGTGAAGAGAACAGTGTCACATTATTGTGGTTTTGCAGGGTGATAAGATCGTCCGGCGGGTGAGTAAAGTGTACCTGTGTGTGAGTGTTTGGGTGGCACCTGTCTGTGTTATGTTTTTGGCTTGGCAGTTGTACTAGGGGTCTTGTTGGCCCACTTGTTGGGGGATCTTGCTTCCTTATAACTCTTTACTACCCGATCTTTGTCCCTAACTGAAAGCTTTGACCCAGCGCTACCTCATTAGGGTGACACACAAGTGAACTCCTCCTCACACACCTGTAAGATGTAGTTGCTGTCAGTGTTTTCACCAGGGGCTTGTGGGGAAGTACACAAGTGGACACCCGAGAGAGCCTCAGAGAAAAGGGACACATTGGTTGTTTTTAATCGTTTATCTCTGGTGCTATCATCCTGACACCTACTTTAAACTTTGAACTTTGTTTGCTGTGCTGCAAGCCCTTATCTGTTTGTTCAGGAAGTGAGTACTGCAGCAACTTTTGGGCCTTCTACTGTTCAAGTGAGTGACTGTCACTGCTTTTTGTCCTGTATTTTTATATGGTGCACAGCAAAACTGGCAGATGATTTATAGGACTGTGTATGATTTTTATGTCTTCCTTTGGGTTCAGATATTTCTGAACTGGAAATCCCAAATAATGGGATCAAAGAGGCCTTGTAAAACATAACCTTGGTACCAAAACAGATTTAAAAACTAACTTCATGCTGCTGAAAGGCTCCAAATTACTGCTGGTACTTATCTGTTGTGAAACAACTTGATAAAGGTAAACGTACTTTGAGCTCCTATTGCTTGAGGCCCGAGGTTGGTCTTTGGATACTCACAACCTCTAAGCCTTGATGGTGTGCTCAAGTTTCCTACCAAGAGCTTGACGGTCACCTCCTGTAAAAGAGGAAGTGAAATCATTTCATGTTTCAGAATTATTATCACTAATGAAAATCCTCAGTGTGGTTAGGTAGTTTGTGCAAGAGCCACATTGTTATGTGTCTGCGACAGACATTTGCATCCAACCTCCATTACCTGATATCCAGCCTGACGAACATGTGAAAACTGTTCAACTAAGGCAGCTGGTATGAGCATGTGCTGTCTGGTGGGCCCTGGTGCTCCGTTTAAAAACTGTAGAGGGCACTCCTGCAGGTTGGCTTTCCCATTTTAGTGTTATTCAATTATCTCAGGATCAGGTGTGGGTGAGATGGAACCACAAATCCAGGATTGTGCTCAAGTGTAAAGTGGCTAAGGCTTCAGTCACTCAGGCTTGAAGGCCATCATCGACTAACCTAATTGCTTGCTGACAAGTTACAGTGGCATGCTAGTGACCAAAGGAGGTTATCAGTACAGGACTGTTATGCTTCATCATGTAGACTTCTGCAGAAAATCTATGTCATAACTTACGAACCGGAAACCCCGTTGTAAACCTACACTGTAACCTTCCATGTAAGCTGACGTGTACCTCCCGAGAAATCTAACTACACATCGGATCAAGGCAGCTGATGTACCCAAACTACTCAGTGATGTGAAAGAGTGCAGCAAAGGGTTAAGAGGGTTTTCTGGTTACAACATAGATTTTGTGCAGGAGTCTAAATCCGTCTTCATACGTCTTTATGACTAGTTTGCCCTAATGTGCCTGTCAGCTGCTACTCACCAACCTATTGTGGAATAAATATTTTTATTTTATTTTTTTGGGGGGGGGTGTCCTGGCTGGGGGGTAACTGATTATTTTCTAGGATTGTGGTAATGATGCTTTAGTAAACAATTTCACAGAAACACCCAGCAACAACTTGCCATCCAGTTGACAAATACACCTTTTCCCTAGCAGCCAGTGGTTGCCGACTGGTTGCCGACTGCTTGTGTGGGGCGTCCATTGTTTACTAAAATCTGCATATGTGATTTGGATTCTAGGTAGCGAACAGATTTTTGTCACCGATTGTCTAGAACAGAATTAAGATCTCTGACAGTGGGTCATACTTGTGAAGAAGATGTCTTTTTCCCCCCTGAAATGTGTCAGGCATATGCAGTGTGCAGCTTTGTGTTTAAAAACACACATTCATACGAGCCACACCTCTTCTGACTTCCAGTCTCAGGCTGGCAGCAGTGCAGCCCATTAGGCAGTTGTAACTGGATAGCTGTGCCTTGATGTAATGTGTTGTGTTGGTGGTTTCCTGGAAGAGATACAGAAGTGGAAATGTTTCCTCTAAGATTATTTTTTTATTATGAAGCTGTGTCACACAGCATTTGCTTTACATAAGTCAATTTCAGCAATGTCTCAAGTGTTAATGGTCATCTGTGCCCCCCACACACAGACATATGACGTCTTTGTAGAGACCAGGCCAATGTGTGCTCAGTTGACGCCTGTGGTGGTCATTGTCTTTTCTTTTGTTTTCCTCTTCATTTTATTTATTTTGCATTGCGTCACATTTGGAGACAAAAGCTGAAAAGGTGATTTTTGTAAGTTTTTATAGTTTTGAATGCTGATTAGTTTTTATCCACATCTTCACTGCTTACTCAGAGAGCTCCTTTCTTAAAAGCATGTCGCGCGTTAAGTGTTAATGCACCAGTTGATTGGCAGTCTTAAGCCACAATTTAAACTTAACAGGTTTTTGCTCATCTCCGTACCGAGTCACACTGTTGTTTTTCATCATCTCATGTTCCAACTCCATGAAAATCATCCTGTCTTCCTTTCAGTGATAGAGATGACATATCCACTCGCTGGCATCAGTTTCCCATAAATGTGCGCATTTGAGGGACGTTTTTTATAAAGAAGGAAAAAAATCCACATTGAGCTCTTTTAAAGATCTTTAAGCTGTTTTAATAATAATGAAATAATTTATGTCATTAAAAAAAAATCCTGAAAAGCACATTTAGCGGGGTTTGCTTTGCATGTGCTGACAGCTGGAAATGGGATAAAGTTTCCATTGCAGTTTCACTTTGCTTTGAAAATAATTGATTGCAAACTGATTTTAATGTTGATCATGTAGTTATTTTATTTATTTACATTTTTTTAGTAATTATCACAGGATTGCTTGCTCTGATAAATCTAACCTCAGTCTAAATATCTGAATGTTTTTGTTTTGACTGGCCTTATGATAACCTCATTAACCACTAATGTATGACATGTGTTGAAGGATTACTTTAACCATTTCCTTATTTTTATTGACCAGAAAAGGACATGCATTGTTTTAACTTCGCCATTTCCACTGATAGGGATACTTAATTGTTGCTATGTACCAGCAAATCCGATGCTTCTTTTTCAATGTAATTTACCATTTTAGAGCTAACATCTATACTCCGCTCATGCTCTGATGAAATGGCGGCTTACTAGATACATTAATTGGTTAAGTAATCTGTATCCAACCAGTAAACTATTCCCAGTCGCGTTTAAATGTGACGAGGATTCAGTCTGACTCTCTTTTCTGTGTTTTTTGTCGTGTAGCATTGTGTTTTTGTGTTTCTAAGTGTCACTGTCACTGTCACTGTACAGAAACACCTTGACTCTCCTTCTGTCTTGTTGTTTTTCTCTGCAGGGCAGTAAAGTGCAGACCAGGGTGGGCCTCCTCATGCTGCTGTGTACATGGATCAGCAACTGTCCGATTGCCGTTACACACTTTCTGCACAATCAAGAAAATGTTCCTTTTGTATCCTTTTGTCAGTTTTACTACTTCATAGGGTTCTTAATGCCTTGTAAACAAGTTATTTATTATGCTTTTTTCTTTTATTCAGTTTTTGTACGGTCGCCCCCTGAGCCACGGGGGCGACCGTGCCACGGGGGGTTGGGAAGCGTATCTGTAACCGGAAGGTCGCCGGTTCCATCCCCGGGCTCCCTGTCCTGGTCGTTGTGTCCTTGGGCAAGACACTTTACCCTACCGCCTACTGGTGTTGGCCAGAGGGGCCGATGGCGCGATATGGCAGCCTCGCTTCTGTCAGTCTGCCCCAGAGCTACGGTTGTGGCTACAACCGTAGCTTGCCTCCACCAGTGTGTGAATGTGAGAGTGAATGAATAGTGGCATTGAAAAGCGCTATATAAATCCAATCCATTTTGTGTTTAGGTTAAAACCTCTCATTCAGTCTTACTTAAAATGTGCAGCTTTACTTGGATGAGTCCTTGACACTGACTCTTGTAGCTGACCGCTCAGATCTCAGAGAACCTGGGGGAGGACGAGAGGCTGGTGCAGGGCCTGTGTGCCCTGCTTCTCGGCATCTGCATCTATTATAACGACAACTCGCTGGAAAACTATACCAAGTAAATCTCTTTCACTCACTCAAACATGTGCATGCTATAACTAGGTTTACCTAATTTTTTTGGTGACAGAATGACAACAATACTCCGTATACACACAAGCAAACACATTATTATGGTGATAAGTTAAAAAATATAGATTACATGCATTTTACAAATCAGATTTTCATCATTTCAGCTGCTATATAGCCATCATTTGTGTATCTAAAGTGTATAAATTAGGAGGTACATTGTTTAAATGTGGTGTCTTTGTCCACTGATTTGACAAATTTAAAACAAATAAAAATCTGTTTAATATAGTGACAAAGCTACTGTGCTCTCTCCTCTTCAGAGAGAAGCTAAAGCAGCTCATCGAGAAGCGGATCGGAAAGGAAAACTTTGTAGAGAAGCTGTGCTTCATCACCAAACATGAACTGTATTCGCGGGCGGCTCAGAAGCCGCAGCCCGTCTTCCCGTCTCCAGAGCAGATGTTGTTCGATCATGAGTTTACCAAGCTGGTCAAAGAACTGGAAGGTCAGTCCCGTCACATTCATCCTAACACGAACAGTTTAAGAGAACTATTGCAGAGTTTCAGTTGGCCTAACGAGTTATGTTCCTCTCCCTACTTTTCCACAGGAGTGATAACCAAAGCAGTTCACAAGTCTAGCGAGGAGGAGAAGAAGGAAGAGGAGGTGAAGAAGACATTAGAGCAGCACGACAACATTGTGACTCAGTATAAAGAGCTGATCAGAGAGCAGGTAAATAACACCATTTTCATTTTGTTACATGTTGTGTTTGTTCAGTTTGATGTACTCTCCTGCTGACAGATTGATTTTGATCACATGATCCTCAGGACGCTCAGCTTCAGGAGCTGAAGGAGCAGGTGACATCCATGACCTCCCAGAATGAACAGCTGCAGGCTACAATCACCCAGCAGCAGTCGCAGATCCAGCAGCACAAAGACCAGTACAACATCCTCAAGCTGAAATTAGGTGGGTGCACCTCATCGGCTGTGTGTGTGTGGTGTGACTTTAGATACATAAAATATAGAGATTTAGTTCATTTAAAATACATTTTCTCATAATGAATGAGAAATGAGGGACTGACATGCACGATTTTAATCCTATCAACCTCATTCCGGCGGGCACATTAAGCTTTTACTGCCTCGCTCAGATAATAGAGCGACAGGGATGTGCAGCAACATCCCCAGATACTGTTTTATATCAAATTGTGCGAGACCGTCACGCACACAGCCACGTTTCATAGGAGCAATTTACTTTGTTTCATAAACAAAATGTTAAAGTGAAATTTTGTGCTTTTAGAACTCTGTAGCACTTTCTTAGCACACAACAGACAGTGTGTCGTGATTTCGTGCAGTCTTGTCATCACAGTGAGGCTGTCAAGCGTGTGAGTGTCATACCTGTGATTAAAATCTGTGCTATATTCCTATAATACAGTCTTCCATATTGCTTGCATCACTTTCAGAAGTCATTGAGAAATAGTTTTTAAAACCAAAAAGTTATTACAGGAGAAAAATGATGCTGTTTTTTACATTTCCTTATATGCAAGTTTGTGTGGCATTAAACAAGTGTGAGACAAATTAGTCGCCTCAAGAGATACTTGTAGGTTTCTGTTCTTAGATCACACAGTAGCCAATTTTTCCTGTTTCCAATCTGTACTAAACTAACAAGGATGACAGCGAATGCAAAGGTTTCTTAGGCAAAATGACAGAGACAAAACCATGAAGACACAAACCCAAATAAACTGCCTAAACTCTTTGCTATCAAAGCAAAGTAGCTCACAGACACGTAAAAGCTAAGTATCTCTAGCCTGTTACTTAGAATCAGAGTTCAGCCAGAACCTCGTAGATATGAGACTGAAATTCAGAGGTTTATTCACAAATGGTGATGTAGCTGCTGCAGGACGGCGATTTAACTGCAAAATTATGCCCATGCTGGGTTCTGGGTACTCTGGATTTCTCCAGTGGTCCAACGACATGCAGTTAGTGGGGTTAGGTTAACTAGTGATTATAAATTTCCCATAGGTGTGAATGTGAGTGTGCGAGTCTCTCTGTGTTAGCCCTGCGACAGACTGGTGACTCGTACAGAGTGTACCCTTCCTGTCGCCCTAAGGTACCTGGGAAAGACTCCCCCTGTGACCCCTACTTGGATAAGCTGAAGAGGGTGGATGGATGACATAGGCTCACCTACCCTGCTCTGATGTAGCTGACTTGTCCCATATTGCAGAGAGACTGACTTGAGCACAGAGTCAAATTGATTGCAAAGTGTTAGTAAGTGGTCTGTTTCATAAATTAGATGACAGTTATTTCCAAACCTTTGTCAATCTGTCTAAGAATGTTTACAGTCAGTCCAAATTAGGCCATGATTGTTTGGAGACAGGCTGCTTTAACCTTTGGATTAACAGTGGTCACAATGGCCAGATAGTTGCTGCAACTACTAGCAGTTGGTTGCTAAATGCAAAAATTTCAATGCAGTCACCAGTAAACCACCAAGCATCCCCCTCCTTCTACTCACAAGAAGGTTGCTATCCCATTTTTACTCCAGCGTGATCGAGCCTTAAATCAGCTCAGGATTGTAGATTTAGGGATAACATCAGCATCAGTATTGCTGTTGTTAACACTTAAACTGAGTGTTTGTGCTCTAACTTCAGCTAAAGAGAACCAGGGTCAGTCCAACAGCCAGGGAGACGGCTCTCAGGTGAACGGGCTGCAGACAGAAGAGCTGACCCAGCTCAGAGAGGAGGTGGAGGAGCTCCGCAAACAGCACTCGCTACTTCAAACACAACTTGGTGACAAAGATGCTCTCATCAGCAGCCTGGTTAGTATCTTTTTTTTTCTTTTGTTTTTAAGTCTGTGTGTACTGGCATTGTTGTTCTGGGGGCTGATTCCAGAGAGATGTTTTAAAGCTGTTTTGATGCGTTTGTTAGTGTAAAACAACTGTAGGCAAAACAGTCCTCCAAACAGCTGACTGACACACGGGGGAGCAATGTGGACTCTATACAACCACCAGAGATTAATCAATTGATTTGGACTGATACATTGCTTTATATGTCTTATTTTAGAATAAACACTTATTATATCATTATAATGTTTAAACCACACCTGTAGAATAAATTAGAAGACGAAGATCAACCAGAAAACACTACTGCAACTATAAACATGCAAACCAAAGACACAAAGAAACCTTTACGTTTAAACTTTCCGACATATCTGGATATGGGAGTTTCTAAAAACTGCTTCATGTCTGTGTTTGGGTTAATCGCACAGTTACATATTGTATCTGGAGTGAAAGTGACTGCATAATGTTTTAACTCTGTGTAACTGTAGAAATCAGGAGCTGCACAGACAGCAGAGGGTCCAGCAGGAGGATCAGACAACACAGAGCTGCTCCAGGTGGGATTCATCACTTCACACCTGTCCCTGCTTTTCCTTTGAACCCCTGTTTGCTAAAAATGTTTCAAAAGGTTAAGCGCATGAGGCAAATGCTTGTTTTGTCACTAAATAAGTGTTCGAATTACTCTTGTGCCTAACAGAGAGGTAAATCTTTAAGTGTACCATTTTATTTTCACTTTTATTGACATAAATATTCAAGATGATTTATGATGTTTACATGTATGCAAGAGGGTGTGACTCAAGCCTAAAGAACCTCTCAGGAAGTGCAGCACTACAGCTTGCTGTAGAGTATTAGTGGTTTTAGGACAGGATGGACTTCTGGGACACAGACTTTGTACATCTGGATCTGGTCTTTTATCAATTCCCAGAGTCAGAACCAGACACGGAGAAGCTGCATTCAGCTTTTATGCTCCTTATATCTGGAACAAACTCCCAGAAAGCCTCAGATCAGCTGAAACACTCAGTTTATTTAAATCCAGGTTGAAGACTCACCTATTCTCAGCTGCATTTAAATAAAGCACCAAATCCGCAATTAAGCTTAAATTTCAAAACTTACATTTTAACTACTGATTTTATCTACTGTTCTGACTTTATCTGTTTTGATTTTTGATTTTATATACTGGTTTGTTTGTTAGTTAGTTAGTTTGCTTGTTTTAATCAATTTTAAATCATTGTTTTTGTTTCTAATGTCTCTGTAAAGCACTTTGAATCACCTTGTTGTTGAATTGTGCTATACAAATAAACTTGCCTTGCCTAGGATCACCTTATTTTCATGTCTCTCACAATAAGAATTATATATGTCACCAGAGTTAATCTGGAGGCATTAATCAGATCGGGTGTTAGTATTTTGTACCTGTGTTGAATGTGTGCTGTGTTGCAGGAACTGGAGGCTTTAAGAAGTCAAGTTCAGTCCCAGTCAACAGAAATCGGCCAGCTGAAGATGGAGAGACAAGACCTGCTCAGAAGAGCTGAAGTCGGGGTAAAAATCATGAGAAGATCAATTTGACATAGATTTGCTGAAGTTGTTTAAAACTAATGAACCTTTCTCTGGCTTCTCTCAGTCCTCTGACACACTCCCCTCTAGTGACAGCTCATTAGATGCTGCAAAGATGGCTGAACTGGAGAGTAGGCTGGGAGCGCAGACGTCTGAGATGGAGAGACTAAAGGTGTGTGAGAATATGTCGCTTGACCCTCATTTATCGTAATGTTTTCATACTGCATTCAGCTTGGACTTCTCATATATTATCTCTCTCTCTCTCCCGTCTCCTTCCTCTCCCTCTGCGGCTCAGGCAGAGGTAAAGAACCTGTCAGAGAGCCGGGCGGAGCTGGAAAAGCGGCTGGATTCAACTACGAGCACGGTAGCCATCCTGCAGACGGAGAAGGAAAAGCTGCAAACTGACGTCCAGGAGTCCAAGAAGGAGCAGGATGACCTGCTGATGTTGCTGGCAGACCAAGACCAGAAGATCACCAGCCTGAAGAAGAGACTCAAAGAGCTGGGAGAGACGGTAGAAAAGCTATTAGCATTTTCTAAAATCACCAGTATAAAATGTATAGTTTTCATTTTTACTGCCAATCTGCCTCGTTTATCCAAACATAAGGAAGAAATTAGGTCAGCCCAGTAAAATTCAACAGTAGAAATGATGAAATATCTAATAGCCTCACATTTAAATAATATGAATACTTTTGTTAATTTTAGGAATATTTTGTTAACGGGACACCCAGCAGATTTTGGGACTGATTACTTCCCTGTATTAGTATTGTCATACAGGAAAATGTGTGTCACAGAGAAAATGAACATCCACATGAGGTGGAGCTGCTGTTTCAGCCTGTTACCTCTAGTTTTGTTCTCAGGCTAGTAAAACACGCAGCCCCAACAACCTCCAGCAGTAAGGTTGAGAATTTTCTTTAAAAGTTTTGAGTGAGAGGAAAGAAAGATGACCAGTAACATCCAGCAGAGATCCCAGGTCAGAGTTTGGTTCACCAGGTCCCCTCAGGTAGCCGTAGGCTCTTGGAAGTCTTTATCCCTACGCCTTCTTATGCCAAAAGAAAATTGTCTCAAGCTGAACTGACAATAAGCCAACTAATTGCAAAGAGAGGATCCAGTGATCTTGAAATCCTCTGTGGTCCTCATCCATCACCTGGTGACGAGACTTTCGCAAGTTTGCACTTTGATGAATATTCTCCAGAGGACGATCTTAAAACAGAACAAACATCAGGGTAACACTGCTTGTTTCTAATATCCTGTATCACAGACATTAAATTAGCACAGTGTTGTTATTGAAACTATGACATATCTCATGATATTGATGTGGCTCTATGACAGTCGGTGTAAAATTGATTTGATTGCAGTTTTTAAAATAGCTTAAATATGTTTTTCAGTTGTGAGAGTTTTGATTAGATAGCCAGTTATGGAAGATTTGAAAGTGCTGGAGAAGAAAAAGTTGGATTAAGTATAAAATTTCAAACTGTCCCTTGTTTTTTGTTTTTTTACCCCAGTGTAGTATGTATGTAGTCTGATCTAAACTTTCCCCAGATTATTCAGTCTGATCCAAATAAATGAACAGTGAGTTGATTCTGATTAGCGAGAATTCAAAATAAAAACGACCACACTACTGCCTCAGTCACCCATGCCGAGACAGCGGTAACTAAAATGTCTATTCACCGACTGGTTGGCTAGTGGTTTCTGGCTGTCACCAAGTGAAAATGGCTGCAAAGAGGGTGCTGCAGTCTTCTTGTGATTGATTTTTGTTGCAAGCAGGTTGCAGTAGCCCACAGTTTGCATGCAAGTAATTCATGAGTGTTTGCAGGTTACACGCAAACTACGGGCGACCACCGCAATCTGTGGTGCAGCACTGGTTAACTTTATGCACCTGTTGTTTATTTTCCCTGCTATCAACTGTGAGCAACCTACAGCAACTCCTCACCAACTGGTTGGAGACTACAGGTTGTCTCCAGTGACCTGTGTCTGCTTTGTGGTCTCAAAGCCTGTGTGATTGTGGCCTATAGGGGTTGAAATTGACTCTTTTTAGTCATTCATCTTATTTTTCACTGCCTAACAAACAAACAAAAAAAACCCCAGCAAGATTTTAGTGTCTAGTCTTGGACTAAGTATCATTAAAGCTTGTTAGCTGTCGTGGTAGCTTTAGCAGTGAGTAATTATTTAATAGTTACAGAGGAATAGATGCAAACACGTAAGTGCGAACCACTCAGTTCTGTTTCGTCTGTCTGCTTTAGTTAGACTGTGACCCTTTCCTTGCAGGTGGAAGATGAAGATGACCTCGACACCAGGGACCAGACAGACGACGATGATGAGGAGGATGAAGATGAGGACTAGAGAAAATCAGTGAAAGGAGAAAAAGGAGAGAAAAGACTCTGCAGAAACGCACCTGAGAAACTGAGTAGGACTAAAATATGGAAGCAGTTTCTCGTCCGGGCTGCCATGCTGTCTTCTTCTTTACTCCAACACATGTATGTGTTAGTTTTTGGACATTTTTAGTTCAAGATGACGATGTTCTTTCCAAAAACTCAATTTTCAGCGACAGCTGAGAGATTTAAACATGTCAGTGTATTCATCTCGGCTGCATTCACCATCAGTTTGTGATGGATTTTATTATTTTTTTTGTTTTTCTAATGTACTGTCACATAGTTCCTAATCACAGAAAAACCTGTAAGTTAATTTTAACACATCTGGAGAATTTGCAGAAGCGGATTTAAAATGTGTCACAATGCATTCTCATTTTTCCCCATCCTGCACTGCTGCCCTCACCAGTACAAGCACCTGCAGCATTGGCGTCACCTGCACTTCGCCCCCCAATCAGTTCGAGTTCAGCGTCACAGTTGTTCCATTTCACCGACTGCTCTGCAATATGCTGCAAAACACTGATGGAAAAGATGTAAAGAGACAAAAAAGACAAATATTTTTGCAACTTTTTGTCCAGTACTGGCATCCAGCTTCTGTATGATATTATGTAACTTATCACTTTAAGAGCGACATTGAAATGAATAAAGAATCTATCTATATGGAGGAATAATTGTAGATAAATTAAATTTTACTAAATCCATAATAAGACCTGGCTGTTAGGATTTTTTAAATTCGAGTGTTTAAAAAAAAAAAATGTTCACGCTGAATGTTTTCATGCCAAATTAATAACACTAAATGATTAGTGTCTGTCACTAAAACCTGAAAAGGAGGCATGGCGGGACATCGTACATTTACTGAGAATAAACTGTTGTACCCTCACGCGTCTTCTGCTAAACACTTTTCATTTCCCTTGGTGAAAAACTTGTGAATCGATAAGAGATGTGAAAGAGAGTTCAAAAGGATTTCTGATATGGAAACAGCTTAACAATGGGATGATGTGGGGGCGCCATGCTGAAACTACAGGTGGACTATAAAATATGCATCGCGGATGCTTCAAACATGTTCTCCTGATTCATGAAAGAAGGAACCACCATGTTTGTTGAATAAAAATAAATACAAATATATTATTTTGAAATGAAATGCTTTCTGAGTTTAGTTGCTTAGTTTAAATCCTGCCTGGCTTTGTGTGACTGGAGTAAAATTGATAATGAAAGCTTGGTAAAACTGCAAACTAAATTATAATAAAGCACACTATTAATAAACATAGTCGTGAAAAAAGTATCCACAGTACTTTATACAGTGCTGTGACTGAGTACATCCCATGACTCAGTTGCAGTGCATGAATTACTCGCAGATATGTGTGCATGTACTGTTAGTGAATCAGGGAGTCACTTCTTGTTTAATGCCATACATACAAAGCACCAAACTCTTAATGATACATAATGCTTTGTCATAACTGCATTTAATTAGGTTGAGGAGAATCAGCAGCTTCATCAGAAAATCTTTTGGATTTCCAGTTACCTTGGAAACGTTAATAAACAAGCTTCACTTTAATGGCACACTCCTGTTGACATAAATCCACCATGACGCATGTTTATGATGACGTTTGTGGGAGAAGTTCACACTTGATGTTATTAAACTATGGTTGAAAACAGAATGGGACCTTAGCTACAGTCCCATGTTTTCACACAGCCCTGCTCAGTTAGCACACTATCAGCCAACAACCTTGGCTGATAGTGACCCACACCTGTTTTCACACCTTTGAAAGCTGAGTTCGGTTTCACTAACCACACTCGGGCCTGATTACTGTCAGTCTTGCTGAATCAAGAAATCACTTAGATTAGGATTTTTCCGCCTTCAATACATTAAATCATAGTTTAGGAAGGAAGGAGGAAAATGCTTTTTCACAAGTCCTGCCTCTACAACAGTTGCTTGAAATATTAGAAATTGGTGCCAGCAGAGAAGTATGTGGAGAGTCACATGTCAGGGCTGATTTTCCTGAAACAAAGGATAACAAGCTATAAAACAGGAAATTTAAAACTTGTGTGAAGCAAATGCTGGTTAAAAGTAAGCCAATTAAGGCAGATGAGGCCATGACTGAGGTGCCATAGTGAAAGCAGCATGAATTACTCATGATTTTTATTTATTACTAGCTGACTGTTAATGACATTTATCAAAATTATTTTTTTCTGTGTATTTAATATTTTATTTACCGATTATCTTTTTCTGTATAATATAATCATTTAAAAAAATTAACATGTGTAAAGGTTATGATTGATAAGGCTTTTGTAATAGCGCAGTTTCACCGCTGGGGGGCAATAAAAACCCTGAAATGAAAATGTGTGGCAGACCTGTTCACAACATGGCATCCATCCCTTTTTTCTTTCTTTCGGTTTCTTTAAATTTTCCATATAAGCAATTATAACTGATCTGGCTTTCAATTTCTCTCACCATTAGGCTTTAGAGATTGTTTAGCTTTTACCTTAACTTACACTGCACAGATGTTGATTAATGTAACTGTTAGTAAGCAGAGTTTATATAATGTACACATACACACACACTTAACATGAGGCATATATGATCTATGCAAACACAGTGATATGGATTGTGCTTCACTGAGAGTAGAACAACACATCACCACACTGTGCTGACCACATTTCAGCAGCTGCTCTCGCTTGCAGACCCTGGGGCTAAACTAATGTGTGAGTTTTTATTGACAGCTCCTCTGTGTGATCCCTGCTGCCTGCCAGCTGTAGCACAGAACACTGTACATGACACACTCAGCACGGTTTGCCTACACAGAAACCAGGCGCTCTGCTTCAGGTGTGCATGTCAATGACTTTTACACACACACACACACACCACATCGGCAAAATGATCTGTGTAAAATTACAAAACGTGACAGAAAACACACAAACCACACACACACACACACATACAAATAAAGGATCTATGCAAATACAGCGATACTCATCAGGAGCCAAACACGAGAGTAAACAAGGGCCAAAGCATATTTTTTTGATTAGGTTGTCAAACAATAAGAAACATAATTCATTAAAAATAGTACTAAGCATAACGTAAACTTAAACAGATTTTACAGAAACCACAATGTTTATTTTTATGCTCGCAAGTATACTGAGCTTCATTCATATGATAACCTGGCTGCTAAAAGGTGACATGGATGGTGATGGACTCTTAAAATAAATGTGCAGTATCGATATGCTTTTCTACTTTTTCTGATGAATCAAACTGCAAACTGCAGATAGGGATGAACACACAGGGTGCTGTTGCAACCAAGAGCAGACAGATTATAAATCAGGGATGTCAAACTTATTTTGATCTTATGTGTGCTGAACCGGTTAAAAATGCAATAAAAAATTAAAATTAAATAAATGTATATTAAAATTAATATAAGACAAAGAGGAGCAATTTCAACAGTACGACTCAGTTTTCCTACATGATAAAGGAATGCTGTAGTAAGGTGTAAAACCTGTGAAACTACAGTAAAAGATAAAAATGTATGTCCTTCACATTCTCCAAAGCCATGCAGTGGGCCGGATTAGAGTTTCCGAGGGGCCGACTCTGTTCCCCGGGCCCTATGTTTGACACCCCTGCTATAATTAAGATTTGATTTGATTTTACAGCGGGTGAATAAAGAGCAGCAGGTTAATGTAGATGGTTAATGCTTCCTCTGCTCTTGTGTGATTGATCGTGAAACTGTCATGTTGTGTGTGAATCTGTTAAAATGTTATTTTAACATCGCTTGTTTGGCCTTCAGTCTACTCGGTGTTCATGATAATATTTATATATCTTTGCACTGATCGACCTGGATTTCCTCGCCCCTCCCAGCCTCCTCTTCCTCCTCTCTCGTCGCGTCCTGTGCTCGCATCTCTCCCTGTGATCTCTCATCCTCTTTTCTTTTTTTTGGTGGCTGCAGTTTGAAGGGCAAAGAAAATGTTTTGGCTGTGAGATTTTATTTATGTTATTGTTGTTGCTGTCGTCGTCTTCTTCTTCTTTTTAAATTCCGGGGGACTCTCAAGGTTGAGGCGGGCGTCATGACTTTTAAGTGACCACTCTGCCACAGCAATCGGTGATGTAACACGACTGGTTCCTGCTTCCCGGCTAGTCCCCTCCGCCACCAGCAAAGCCAGCACATCCAGCAGGAGCAGCTCCACCGCTCGAGCCTTCTTCCCTCGGGGGAAACACTACCACCTGCCGCCACATCTCGCCCCTTATGACCGTCTCAAAGGTGAGTTCCCTTCAGCTCCAACTTCTCGCTTTGTGTTGCTTACTTGCCATCACGCACTCGCTGCGTGTGCGGGTGGGACACTTTGGTGGGGTCTGAGCTGCAGCCGGAGTTGGAGCTGTGCCAT